ATCTTTCCCTCATCTACCTTTTCCTTTAAGCATTCTCTATTGCTTGTTAGATGTGGCAGCATGCTTATCTTTGAATTTGTAATCTCTCCAAGATGTTCGTCTAGAGTTACCCATGCTGTATCTTCCACTGGGAGGGTGCAGAAATTCCAGTCGATTTAATGGAATCCCCTTTAAGCCAAACCCTGTATCCTTCATGAGGGGTTTTGGGAGCTTTGGTATATTTTCACACAATTCCTTGGAGTAAGAAGCTGGGGGGGAGGGTGAAGACTTCGGGCTTCTCCTGCTTACATTCCTATAGCTGATGTTCTCTGATTCTTATATATCCATAGCCTTTTGCCAGACACCAACCTGTGAAAATGTTGCCTCCTGAAATTTAGAGTATGATTGTTTCCCCCATAGGTGGGGAAGTTGGTCACAGTAATATCCTTATAGAATTCAGTCAGTGCTGTGATCTCTAGATATTGGTATCTGCTCCAAAATGTGTGTTGAAATCCTAACTCTTACAGTGTTGGTATTAGATGGGGCCTTTGGAGGGTAGAAAAAGTGATGGGCAGAGTCCTCAGGAATAGGATCTATTCTCTTATGAAGGGCTTGAGAACACATATACACAACACACACACACACACACACACACACACATACACACACACACACACACATGCACATACACACACACACTCACACAATGCACGCACACACATGCATGCACACACACATGCACACACACACACACACACACACCCATGCACACGCACATCCCCCACACCACACACACACTTCTGCTTTAGGGTACAGTGAGAAGAAACATCTATGAACCAGAAAGCCAGCTTTCATCCACAAGACAATTTTGGTGTTTTTGATCTTAGATAGAAGCCTCTAGAATGCTGTTGGAGTAACCTCTGCTGTCAATTAGCTGCCCAGTTTGCAGCATTTGTTTTAAGGTCTGGGACAGACAGACTGCCAGACTCACAAATATTGAAACAAAAGCAATCGTGATTCTCTACGGTGACCATATTTTCTCTCCCTTTCCTAATGACTCCAAGTTTATTTGCTTGGATATGGATATTTTCTTCTCTTCTGTGGTGATCAGGTGGTGTTGAAACAGAAGTGAAGAAATGTGTTTCTGAGCTTTTAGTTTCTTTCAGGCTCTTTTCTCAAGTACATCTCATTTCAAACTCCGAAGTCAATAAAGTGATATGGTTGTTTCCTGGTTGACTTCTGATTTATAATAAACAAGCAAGAAACCATAAGTCAAATGTTCTCTATTCTGTAAAATGTTCATACCAGGGAAGTGGATGGGTCTGGAACAAATACATTACAAATAAACACATAAAAGTCCATTAGTTGATGTGACATAGCCTATTATACCAATGTAATGGTCTAAAGCATAACAGACTACAATGCAATTCTTTATTATGTTTTAGAAACAAACATCAAATTAGTGTAGTTGTTAAAAAGAGATTTGTCTTAGTCTTTATATCAGTTCAGAAAAATTGGGGTATTTGTATATTTAATGAGTTGAAACGGAAATATAAAAATTGTTTAGCATTTTTCTGTTCTGATTTTGTGAGATGCTATTTACTTAGGGATTAGGTTGGGTGTGGCTAGTGTGCTACTGACTTTACTAATAACAACACCATTGACATAAGGTACACAGATATCCTGTCATAGCTGGAAAACCAGCATAGGACCAACCCAGACCCCCTGAAAGTGGGTGTTAGTTAGGAGGACTGGGCAGTTTATGGGGCCTCTGGTAGTAGATCAGTATTTATCCCTAGTATAAGTATGGACTTTGAGAGCCCATTTCACACAAAGAGATACTCTCTCAGCCTAGACACACAGAGGAAGCCTAGGCCCTGCTCCAAATGATATGACAGACTTTGAAGACTTTCAATGGAAGGCCTCACCCTCCCTGGGGAGCAGAAAGGGGATGAGATAGTTAGTTGGAGCAGGGCAGGGGAGGAGAGGAGGGAGAAGGAACTGGGATTGACTTTAAAACAAGCTTGTTTCAAATTTAAATGAATAAAAAAAAAAAAAAAAAAAGATTATAGTCTCCTCAGGCGTGATGGCTCATTCCTTTAATCCCAGCACTCAGGAGTCAGAGGCAGGTGGATCTCTATGAGTTCAAGGCCAGCCTGGTGTATAAATCTAGTAGACAGCTAGGGCTGTTACACAGAAAAACCTGTCTTACAATGAAAGCAGCAGCAGCAGCTACAACAAAAAGTTGTTCTGACATCAGAATGATTGTTTACTGACCTGCCTGTGCCATCACTTCCCCTAGTTTCTGCATTCTTGCTGAGTAACATACATATTCTGAAAGCATGACAGAGATGATTGAGTGATTTCATGTAAAATGCCTGGCACCAAATGGCATATCCAAATCCTAAGAATGAAAGCTAGTCTTGTCTTCAGGCTTTTTATTTTCATTTCTACTAAAATAGCTTATGGACTGAAGAGTAAAACCAAAATGGAATTGCTAAAACAAAGAAAAGTATGCCTGGTGATTTCTGACAGCCAGTGGAAGCCTAAGAATGTGTTAGGACCTAATTTCATATAGATTTGATTGGCATTGGAGGAGCAAAGGAGATCATACAGGAGCAAAGTTTGCAACAGAGGATAGTTTCTTCTCAAAAGGAATTTTTAGAAAATCATGCTATGTGTGTAGATCACACAAGGGTCATAACTAAGTTTTGTTTCCCTTCATTTTGTTGTGCAAAAACTAAGTGGATGGTTCTTAAGTATCCTGAATCACCACCTACAAATTTCTTTATTAGAAAAATGACAGTCCTGCATTTATGATGTGACTTATTAGTAGGGTCTTTTGTCGCCATTCTTTTTAAAATTATACTTACCTTGAAATTTATAGAAAATGATGCCTGGAAATTAAGGCAAAGTTTGGTTTATGTCTTTTCACTAAGAAGCTGCTAAACCATCAGGTTCCAATCGTTTAATACCTAGAGTTTATAGATGAGTTGGCAGATGAATTTTTTTTTTTTAAAACTATACTCTGGAGTGACACAGAGACATGGGATCAAACATGGAAAAGATGCATTCATAATGAGAGAATGATTTCTGTTATTCTGGTTGAAATTTGGGGTCCATCTTAAGTAATTCCATACTTGGCTATGACAAAATGCTTACATGATCTGAAGGAGTCATATATCTTTGTACATCAAACTGGGGGTTGCCTTTATTTTAAAGGGGAAAAAAAAAGTTTAACCACTCGATGATTACAACAGTATTCATGACTTGCAGTGCTGACATCCTGCAGATTGATGCAGTCTTCAGCTCTGAAAATACTGTGTCATCTAGAAGATGAGAAGTATTAATAATGAAAAAAATATTTATGTAGTCAGCAAATTGTCAGTAAAGGTGGCTTCGATTATAAAACTCACCCCACAGAGACTATGTCAGGTTGCAAATTATTCTACCCACAAAGTTATTTGAAAATGAGTAAAGTGAGTGTCATGATACATTCTTCATTTTTTTTTTTATTTTTTTCTTCCTCCTCTCTCTCCTTCTCTTGTATTCTCCTTTTTCTCTTTGAAACTGGAGGAAAATTCTGCAGCTAAGTGAAATGCCAGCAATCCTTGCAAAATAATAGATTATTCTTTTGAAACCCATGTTGCCTTTAGTCAATACTCTAGTTCTTCTGCGTAGACTGGGCCTAGTAATTCTGATGTGCTTTTTGTGTTTCTTTTATTAATTCTCTGTCATGTTATGTTGTTGCCTTTGAATGTTGTCTTAAGATCTGAATCCAGTAACTGTAATGATATCATTATTTGATGAAAATTATTTTTGATAGTTGGAGGGACAAGAAATACTGTTATAACAGCAATTAAAATGTAAAGCTTACCTGGGTCACTTTTTATTTTTCAGTTTTTAATATTCAGCCAACCCTGATATCACCTTTAAACAAAGAATCAGGAAAATAGCCTAAGATCCTGACACAGTTGTCATGTGTTTCTAACTACATTTTGGAGGCCTCACTTCACATTTTGATATTTGGTTCTGAATGACTTAAGAATTTATTCAGGGTATTCACTTTTCTAAATTATATGCCTCAGATATAAAAATAAAGGGAACTGAAAGAGGTGATAGACATGATAACTGATTGTAATAACTATTTTAATATATTTGTACATCAAATACTTTAACCTGTACATTCAATATAAGTATGTGCTTAATCAGTTATATCTCTAAAAAAGCAAGAAAAAAAATCCACATAACATGAAACTTGACTTCAGGTGGGTTTGAGGAACAAGTCTCCTGCTTATTGCCTGTATCAAAAAAATTAGTTACATGACTGTAGTAGACCCAAGTCAGATTCATGTTTTCTATATATCCTCTTAAATAAACTTACCATTTTACCTATCAGTTGGAATTCAGATGTGTTCACATATCTGTTTTATATTTAATTTAATGTCATTTTCTGAACCACTTTGATCTCATGATGGGAAAGATGTTTTAAAAAGTAAATTAATAGAGTATAGGTCTATACTATTCACAGTATGGTCTACTACCTTACCAATACTACTAAACACTGCGTTTAAACCATATTAACCACTCTCTATGATTGTAATGATGCACCTCTGAATGAAATATATATATTTTCAACTACATGAATAAGTTAGTCCACAAGTCTAATTTCACAGGTTGATGGAAAAATCCTAACTTCATTTGAATGTTCCTCAAGTTGTGTATGTCTGTTTTCTCTTCCACTATCATCTGTTAAAGTTAAAGTACAAATTCTAATTATAATGCAGTCCTGACCCAGGAAAATAAAAAATAAAACACAGCAGTAGTAGCATTGTTGTAGTACCGAGTTCTTTTCCCAAAGTATGCTCTTAGGCCATTTTAGAGAATAGGCTGTCCTTAGGTAATTTCTCATCATGCCAGGATTTCACATCTTGTACTCAGTGTACTGCAAGTCATGAACATTTATGAATGCCCTGTGTGTATGCTTACTCTTCATTATTTTCCCTTCTTATCATTTTTAGGTCTTCAGCATCAGGACAAGAGCAAAGAGTCAGCTTGGTACTGAATGAAGCATGGTGTTGGCAGGTCATGTTGCAGCCTGAATCCAAGGGCCCACTGGGAAAGATGCCATTGTGATTTCCTAACCAGCAATGGGACACAGGAAGCATGGATGGAAAGGGGGACATAGAAAGCCGTTGTGCTTGGATTCAAACTTTTCTGGAGAAAACAGCGTGGGTCCTAGTCTTTGAAGGAAAGATGTTGTCTGTTTTCTCTCATCTGAGCCTTTGTCAGTTGTGCAACGTCTCGTTTTCATCGCCCTTTACCCCCGTACCTTGCTTAGATTTTTTTGTTTCTTCTTGAACCAGCTGCCTTGTCAGGAGAAGATGAGCCAACAACTGAAAATGCTCATTCCTTCAGGAAAATCATTGTGTAGCTCTCTCTTCATCTATTTTTGTAGAAATACAGAACTTTGGTTTAGCATGGAGGGGATATTTTTTGAGGGATGTATTTTTTTTTTTTTTTTAAATATTGTAACAATTGTTGAGTTCTGTTTAAAGAACTTGCTCTCAGAAAAGCACTGGCCACAATGTGTTGAATCCCGGATCTTCAGAGTGGGGTGATGCGCTGTGTCTGTGCTTCTGAGGGTACCTCAAGGGGTGTAGCCTTTTCTGTAACAGTGACCCTACCGTAGGCAAACCAGTGCCATACTGCATTTATGTCGAATCTCAGTGAAGATTGAATTCCATGACGGCTCCCTTGGTTTGCAGCTGTGTATGTGTGGCTTAAATAAGCAGTTTCCTTTAAAGGGCCACAAATTATAGGGTATTTTATTACTTTGCTTTCTTCTGAAGAGTTCTTGGAGGTTGACTAACAAGAAAGTTTAGGATAATGAGTAGAAACATTGTTCTTTTTGTAGTCCATCCACTCTTAACAACTGGGAATAGAGCTTATGCATTCAGCCATGATAACCTGTGGATACATGCCAGTGACTAATTTTCCTAGTTTCTAACCATTTGTTCACAGCAGTTTTGGAAGCCATACTTTGAATGAATTCATTTCTTGGCGTGAATTCAAATGAGGAGAGGAAGGAGACACATGACAAAGCGCCGACTGTCCCTCACTGTTGTAAACTGACAAGTGATGTATTCTGTATGTACTGTTTTAATTGGAGCATATTGCAAGATTTTGTTTAAGTGTAATTAGTTTCTCAAACATTACAGAGGATTAACAGTGATGATGGATGTAAGCTTATATTTCAATTGAAGAAACTGAATTAAAAGTTGAAAGCTTGAAGTGAACCTCACGTGGCCCACAGATAAAAGGAAAGTGAAGTTGGGATAAACCGTAAGAGAAGATTAGGCAAAGTTTGGGATTCTGAAGGTATCAGTGACTGGCAAATCAAAGACCTTGTCTATTGTTCCTTTCAGTTGCCATAAGGAAGTAAGTGTAATACAGATGCTTTTATTTGATTATGTTTCTCAAATTTTCTCATCTCTCTTAGCCACACAAAACAGAATGTTGGGAAACATGCTACTTTCTGGTTTTAATTGTGGATGTCATGGGTGTGAATATTTTACATATTAACAACACAAGTGGTTCAGCAGAATTCGCTCAACTCTTACCATTTTGCTTGGCTGTATCATATACATTAGTTTCTCCTCCTGCTGCTCTTGCATTATAAACCCATGTCATTGCTTGTATCCACAGACTCCATCATTTCTTCTTGACTTTCTGTAACACTGTCTTCACATTTTCTCCAGTATAATCTATATTTGTGGTAAATTCCACTTGTTGGTATATAAACTTAAATGTCCAGACAGTAGCCTCATTAAATTCTGTGCTTTTTAAATGTGGACTTCAATAACTACATTTGCTTTATTTGTTACTTGCACAGATATGTAGAACACAGAGTTGAATGAATGTGTCAAAGTCATTTTAGCTTGAGGCCTCCTGAGTTTTGAAAAACAAGCTCTCAGTAGTTGCCATGGGGGAGACTCATTGGCTGTTATCTTGCCTTGGAACAAACTGTCTTATGTGGCGATCTCTTAGAAAATAGTGCCACACTTGAACTCGATGAGCTCCTTCCATTGGATTTTCTCAGCTCATGTGAGGTGAAGAGGGCCAACTCTTTGCTTTGTTCTTTATTTACCATCAAATAGGATTGAAAGAGAAAGCCGATAATTCAGTGATTTTGCTCTTATCTCCTCATAACTATGGGCAAAACATTATTTGGATTGAGGCCCAATGAACATGAGAAATCTGAATTCTGTTGCATGCAACAAAGATGTGTGCTCTCTTTGAGAACAGGCATGGCCATTAATGGCACAGTGTCATGAAAGGAATACATCAAAATCTAGTAAATAGAGAGAGAACATGGCTGATTGTCAAGCATCACTCAATGTTTTGACATTAACAACGAGAAACAATAAAGGGACTTAAACACAGCATAATAAGTAATCTGAGTTTATTAGCATGTTAAGTGCTATTACAGTCTGAACCTGGATTTCCCACCTCACGGTTTGGCTGCTTGATTGAAGATTGGGTACCATCAGCCTCTCTGACTTTATTGGACCCACCCTACCTTAGCCTGTTTTCTAACTTCAGTTTCTTTCAGTCTGTCTGAAAACCTATAAACTTTGACACTGGAAAACTTTTATTTATGTGTAATCTGTTATTCCACCAATGAACTAGCTAAACTAAGAAGCAGCATAATGTTGGCTGTCAGGGCCCACACAGGATATTTGATATTTCCTTGTGAATTTGTAAAGAGTCTTTAAAGTTTAGAGTCTAAACATTTTTATAAATCAAGAAAGTTAGCTATTGTTTTAACTTTTCTCTTTTCCATTTCTTTTTAAGATTTGTGTTAAACTAACTCTTCCTCCCCCAATAGTAATATTGCCCAGATATGTATAAAATAGGGATTAGTGGATTGCAAAACTATTGCAGACTACGTTTCCCGATTTTGTAAGATTAAAAACTGTCCTAGAGGATGCCTATATGAGCTCTTCATTTATTTTACAAATAATATTTGTCCATTTCTAAGCTTACAGAAATGGTAAAGGAAGTAGCTTTAAGCTTACTGTATGGCTGAAGGCAGTAGCTGTAATGTCAAGTGGCAGAGAATGTATTTCCTATAAGTTGCATTCTGTCCCTTACGAAAAGCATCCTGTGTTAAATAGCATTTAGCCAGTGGGAGTGTGGCAGGAAGTGATGGGCAAGGCAAAGACACACGTTACCAGTTTGACTGGGAAGCAAGTAGGGGAGCACGAGGAGTTAGTGCACACTTGGTTCTTTAGACTCAGCCATGGCTTACTGTGTGATTTGGAACTTTATTTACTTACCTCATCATAAAAATTAAATGGAATAATACTACCTAATAAGGAAGGCTGGGAAAGTTTGAAAATATATACAGATGTACCCTACTTACAGTAATAACAGACAGCCTCCACAAATGACCATCAGTTCAAGTTGATTATTAATTTGAGCTCTTAAATACCCCTTTTTCTTCACATTACATGTTCCTTCTTCAGCAGCCAAACAAACCAGCAAATGCTTTTCTGTAAGGAGTCATGGCGAAGAAACCCTTTTCCTTTTCTTACTTACAGGAGAATAAAGTGTTTACTTCTTAAGTCTGAGTTTTTAATATGGTGTTTCTGAAGGAAAGTTAATTAAACATTTAGTGGTATGTAGACTGAGTGATATTCATTCACAACTCCATACATAGCTGTCTCTGAAATTAACAGGGCAGTGTCATCCAGCCACCTAACTTTGCATTTGTCAGATATACATTGTGTTTCTGTGGCAAAAGGACTGAGAATGATGCTTTTCATTACCCCCCCCCTTTTGTTTTTACTTGCCTCGGAAAAAAAGTTGCACAATATGGTGGAAAAAAAATCGTTTGCATGGAAAAGGGAGGGGTAAGCACCCCCTTTATGATCGCAGTCAGCAGATTTACTCTATTATAGAAAAAAACTGAAACAACTTTATTGAAAGCAGATGTTGACACTGTGTTGGTTATTGAAGATGGAAAGAGTTCACTGAGTTGTTGCAGTTACAAAGGGGTATTGATGGCAGTCAGGGTTCCTGCGATGGATCACCTTCCCAGCTCTGGGAGGACAGTAGAAGCTTCATGGAAACCAAAAATGAAGCCAGCCTATGACTTTAAGGTGCAAGGGACACCAAAGACTAAGCTTGTTTGGTGTCTTCTTTTTGTTTTTTGTTTTTGTTTTTAAAACCCTTCCCTGCAGAATGTATAATGGATATCTTTCAGATAATATTAAGGCTACATAGACAAGTTAAAACCAAATCTCTTTAAAAGTCTAGTTTGAGGAATCCTTCAAATCCACTACTATAACATGAAGACTTTGATTAAAATGATTTAAGAAAGGCCAACATGTGTGTTACAAACTAGCAGAACACACATATATAAACTAGGAAAGAAAGACGGCTTTGGTGTTTGGGGGAATGAACGGAGCCAGCAAGGGAACCTCAGTTTTAATAGCCTCACAGTACTAATTGCCCTGGTTGTGTGGTCATGGTACTAGGTTGCAGATCAGACTTGTAGAATATTGCATATCATTTTTACTCTTAGTGCTTTCTGGGAATTTTTAAACTATAACATTAGTCTTAGTTAAATGTCTTAACTTTAAATTTTTTGTTATGGGCTTTTATTTGCTTGAAACATTTTGTGATGTGAAGTGATTAATCAAGGAAATAGTCTTGAAGTTTTGACCAGTTTATATTGATCCAATGACATTTTCTAAATCTGCCTTTTAAACCACAGGGAATTCTAATAGATTTAAATGTAATTTGCCATTTCTGTTATGTTGTGTAAGTCAAAAGGGACTCCCACTCTTCTAGAAAGGGACACACCAACACCAAAAAGTTTCTTTTTGAATGATTTCTGACTACTAAATTTTAGCCTAAGATTAGTTTCTTTTGAATATAAAATTCTTAATGAAGTTTTCTTCCTTTCTGTCTAAGATGTGAACTTTTCTCTTTATACAAATAGAAGTAGACCGTTTTGTTTCATTTTGTTTTGTGCTGTGGCTAGAGCCAAAGGTAGTGATTTTTACACACTTGGTTTAATGTATAGGAGATGTATACTTGTGGACATCCTATCTGATTTACAAACACTATTCCATATAAGTATTTTTCAAGATGTACAATATAGGGAAACCTTCATGTGAGTTCTTTGTATCATTTTAAAAT